GGGCCCAATCCCCCAGGAAGCGGGCCTAAGCCAACCCAACAGGTGAACATCCTCCGAGAGGTTCCCAGATTTTGAGAAGGGCATTAGGCCGGGCTGAGGGGACCCCCCCCCCCCCCGGAGTACACAAATTTTTGTGCACCGGGCCTCTAGTAAATTAGATAAAGAGGAAAAGGTTAGACAAATGATGTGGTGGAGTTTGGGCTTAATTTTGCAACCCAACACAGAGCTGCATGAAGTTACTTGTTAAACACACCACAAATATTAGGCAAAACATAGTACAGACAACATCCTGTACTCTCTATAAACTTCCTGAAGTGTCAGGAACGGTTCCTACAACCACCCCGGGTACTATTCTTATTATTCCCATTTTACTGAAGAGGAGACTGAGGCACTGACAGGTTAAGTAACCTGCTCAAGGCTGCCAAGGTAGTAAGGGGCGCAACTGGCATTTGGACCAAAGCAGGCTGGATTTAGAATCTGTGCTTTTGACCACTGCAATATCATACTCCTCTAAAAGAAAGATTGTTTCTCTAAAAATGTCTTTAAAAAAGTTCTCCCATGGGTAACCTTGTATGTTACTGAGACAGCTTGTTCTTATGACAAGATCAACAGTGAAAGCTAGATTGTGGATAATCCATCTGTACTCGCCTGTTCAAGGGAACCCAGAAGGAGCCAACAGAGGCATTGCTGTAACTGGTGCAGGTAACATCTGAAATTTTCAGGGGCTTCATGTTATATGCATACAACAATAAAACCTGTAAGAAAATTAACAGTTATATAAAATGTGACATCAAAATCACACTCTGCCTCAAGAAATGCAGCATCACTTCTCAACATAATACCATTAACCTTTAAAAAAGTGTTTCTTTAGCCCTAGCCAGTTTGGCTCAGTGGATAGAGCATCGGCCTATGGACTGAAGGGTTCTGGGTTCCAATCCGGTCAAGGGCACATGCCTGGGTTGTGGGCTTGATCCCCAGTAGGGGGCATGCAGGAGGCAGCTGATCAATGATTCTCTCTCATCATTGATGTTTCTAACTCTCTCTCCTTCTTTCTTCCTCTCTGAAATCAATTAAAATATATTAAAATATATGTTTCTTTGAAAGATAAAAATGAAGGCCTTTCTTTCAACTCACTTTAAAAAGAAATGATATGAACAAGAACTGTGCAAAAGTTATGAGATAAAAAGAAATGCTATTTGGTACCAACATTATATTATGTTTGAAGAGTGACATTTCCTACTGTAGATAAGTTTAAATTAAGCCTTTGAGAGCCCTCTACAGCAAGTTCTAAACGTCCACCTGGTGAATAGCTAACTCTGTTTCTTGGTACTTCTCAAACTGTCCTTTTCCCATTGCAGTCATAGCTGCTTCTCTGACTCCACTCACACTGTTCCCTTCCTCTTCATTCCATTTATTCAACACACACACAATGTTCCAGTCCCCACCTTTAAGATGAAACTTCTCCTAACGATTCAGGCTCCAGTAGTTACCCTGTTGTTTGAATTCTGACAATTCTTAGAATCAGTCCTAAACAACACAGCACTTGTTTACAGTCATGGGTTCATGGAATTTGAGATTCACAGAACCTTAGAAATAGTCTGCTTTTATGTCCTTTATTTTAGAGGAAAGAAAGTTGAGGCCCAGGGCTGCCAGACCAAATGGACTAATTAAGTTCTTGCTTTTATCTCTGCTTCCTCACAAATCAAACTAAAATAAGAACAAAGGGATTTTTTAAAGACATAAATCCACAAAGCCAGAAAGAATAAGCGAAGAGGGGAGGCCGATGAGATGTTAACACTTGGAATGATGGAAAGCACTTGGAAGAGCGTAGCTGACTCAGCAGAGGGGAAAGGCTGTGTCAAAACTGCCTTTGGAGGGGTTGCCAATGAAAAGCATAGGGATTGGAGGCATCAGAGATCTCAGAAAACCGCCTTCCTGTTACAGAAGAATGGAGAAGAACCAAGCAATGCTTAGAGAGATGGAGTTACATTTATTATTATTACACGCAGGCCCAGAGAAAAATGTCTCTAGAATTCTGGATGAAGTCACACAGGAGGTTTCCTGTATTTAAACCTTTGTACCTTCTTTGTCTCCCAAATATGGGGTTTTCCGGTCCCCTGTGCAAGTTATTTTTTTTAAATGGGGACTTTTAAAAAAATATATTTTATTGATATTTTTACAGAGAGGAAGGGAGAGGGATAGAGAGTTAGAAACATTGATGAGAGAGAAACATCAATCAGCTGCCTCCTGCACACTCCCCACTGGGGATGTGCCTGCAACCAAGGTACATGCCCTTGACTGGAATCGAACCTGGGACCCTTTGGTCCACAGGCCGATGCCCTACTCACTGAACAAAACCAGCTAGGGCCCCTTTGCAAGTTCTTAAAGAGCCCCTATGTGCTGGGGCTTTGAGACCTCAACCAAAGGCTTGGCCTGGTGCCAGCACTGATAACTTCATCTGGGGAAGGTTTAATGGCCTCTCTGAAATGGGAGTAGTCTTATTTTCCTTATTATTTAAGCAAGCAAATATTTACAGAAGCCAAAATAGCAGGGTTAAAATTTCAAACAGCAGTTTTTATATAAGATGGATGCTTCATTCCCATCCCTTCTCTGAGTCCATGATACCAGGAGACTCCCCCCTTCCCTTCCCTGGTCTCCTCCCTGCTAGCTGAACCTCTTCCTTTTTGCTCTCTGCTGAGGTTAAATCATAAAAGATCTATGCTTAGGAACATTAGGTACATGAATGGGTGCTGAACTAGAGAACACTGAAATTAAGTGAAAGCTTATATTCTGAACAAGAGACATCCCCTTCCCCCACTCCAGCCCCTTCCCAGAATGTATGAAACCAGACGGGAGTCTTAAAAAATCCTCTTACAGGAAATTGACCAAAGAGAAAAGACCTACAGAGACTGACATTTCAGCATCTTCCAATGAAACTGCTGGCTACTGCAATTACCCTGCAATGAGGCCTATAGATCATTAAGCCTGACCTGACATGCTTCTCAGTGTCTCCACATACGAATGGATAGCCAACAGTCACTAGACGTGAAATGAAAAGGAACTTGGAGAATCAGTTTTAAGACAGAGGGCAGAAGAAAACTTTAATGGAACCATAATTAATTTCCTCAGAGAGAAGAAAGACAATATTGCATCTGTGAAAAGGAGCACAGTGCTATTAGCATGAGGCAATAAAAGAGATGAGAAAGAGCTCTTAAAAATTAAAAAACTATATAATAATAGCAACTTAATAATAAAAGATTTGAAGAATATAAAGTAAACCTACATTTAAAAACATAAATAGGGAGTATGAGAAAAGAAAACACTCAATCTCAACAGAAATTCCAGAAGGTATAGATATAATCAAATTGAGAAAATTATCAAAGAAAAAAATCTCCATTAACTAAAGAATTTATACTTTCAAGATTTGAATGGGGCACCCAAACTATCTAGCACAATGGATGCCACACCCAGGCACATCATGAGATTTCAGAAGCTCTGGGGATCTTCCCGAGGAAAAAAGTCAGAGAACTAGAAATCAATGGATCACACTTCTCGGTAGCAATGCAGGATTGCCAGACACAGTGGAGCAATGCCTCCCACATTTTGAGGGGAAATAATTTTCAGCCTAAAAGTTTATGCCGAAAATAAACAAGGAATTAAACATTAAAATTATGACATTTCAGGTCTTTTTACTTCCTGTGTCAATCTGTCTGTGCAACCCTGTTAGCATCTCAAGGGCCTGTAGTCATGCTATTGGCCACTGGCCAAACCTGAATGACATGTGCTAACTAATAATTAATCCAGTCCTGTCCTAGGGTCTGAAACACACTGTGGGCCAGCCTGTGTCATCCTGCCAGCATTTTGGCTTAGTTAGTAATTGAGTTAGATGTGTGTTATAAAGAAATCAATATTAAGAATTAGAGGACTTAGGCTTCCGTTCCTATTTTTGTCACTGAGTTGTGGCATTGTTGCTCGGCCTATATGGGCCTTTGCTTCCTGAACTGTAAAATGAGAGTGTTGAACTAAGTTCACACTCTCTTAGTTTCTTTTCAGATCTGACATTTGACTTGGGTGATACCAAAAGAAGTCAGAGAAGGTTTCCAGTGTAGCCTACTATATAAGCATCTTCTTGGGAACTCTGGATGCGCAAAACAGTGAGATAAGGTAGAATAAAGCTAAAAATCCTAAGGGGTCATCTTGCGACAAATTTGAGACAAACTTTTGGTCTCGGTCATATCTTTTTATTTTATTTTTTTAATATTTTTGATTTCAGAGAGGAAGGGAGAGGGATAGAGAGATAGAAACATTAACGATGAGAATCATTGATCGGCTGCTTCCTGCATGCCCCCCTACTGGGGATTAGGCCCGCAACCCAGGCATGTGCCCTTGACTGGAGTTGAACCTGGGCCTCTTCAGTCTGCAGGCCAATGCTCTATCCACTGAGCCAAACCAGCTAGGACTGGTCATATCATTTTAAGGCTAAGCTCTAGCTATACATCTCTTTGACTTTTATCAGCCATTCTTTTCATTGTTGCTGGTTTCTTTTTTTTTTTGTTGTTGTTGTTTAAAAGAATCCCATGTCTGGGAGGTTCATGACAGTCCCTGGAAGTCTTTCTGTTGTCTGTCTCTTGAAAATACTGAAATTGATCAAAACATGCTTCATTTGTCGCAAAGTTCTAGTGAAGAGCTCACAATGTGGTTCTATATTCTACTAATTTTGTCAAATAGGATCAGATAATTTCTACCTTCATACTTAAGAAGTTATAAACTTAACTCTAAAGTATCATGGTATGAAATATTTAGCCCTCTGAATTATCTAAAAATTATATATGAAAACTAGAGGTCCAGTGCATGAAATTCATGCAGTGGGGTTGGGGGACAGGGCGAAGGGGGTCCCTCAGCCTGTGCCCTCTTGCAGTCTGGGACCCCTCGAGGGATGTACAACTGCTGGCCCGATCCCCTGGATGTCCCACCCCCCCCCC